AAGCTTAGTTTCCGAATCCTTCAGCTTGGTTTTAAGGTGTCGAATGGTGACCTCTTTCTGCTGAAGCGGGGTGAGGTATTGCTCAGGGTTTGGCGGCTTAACGCCATGGTTGTCCCCACAAGACGTGTATCGAACGCCGCTGGATCTTCTGTAACTTCAAATTAAAAAACAAAAGATACCACTTCACCACCCTGGAATTTAAATAGGAATTCCAAACGTATCCTACATTTAAGATCTAGAAGTTGTCCATGGGGAAATAATTGCAGAATCAAAATCTATCGGAGTTTATTTCATGAAAATGTTTGCACTGCCTACAATGAGGTGCCAGTGTCTGTATCCAAAAGGGGAGAGAGCAGAGGCCGATGTTACTAAAAGACGGAGAGGTGGCCAAGACACTCGCATGATTTCTTGGCACACTCAGCACATTTGCTTTCAGCAGGGTGGAGGTCTTCCTTATGGCTTGTTTTGATTAAAGTGCACTGCTGGAGCTCTTAAGAGGAGGCACGCACAATTTCAAAACTTGCCAAGGCTACAGCTACGCGACCATCCCTCATCAGCTAGCCCAGAGCGGGTGATCACATGGTTCCTGGAGAGTCCCTGGGTTTTCTGTTCCAGCTTAAGATCTTAATGGGCTAATAATTGCTGACTGAAAAAAATAAATAAAGAATCGATCAAATATTTCCAAAAGCCTTTTAGAGGCATTAAAAACACAGACATGTTTGTGTGAGGAGGTTTATACACGTGACTCACAGCTGCGAACAGGTGTGTTGGATTTTTCCAGTTTGCATGATCAGAACAGATCAATAAGAATGCGTTTGGGCAGAGTGACAGTGCGGTCGAACAGTGCTGGCGAACTGGTTTAATTCCTGGGGTGCTCTGTGCGTTCATTTCCCCATATTCACGTGGGTTTTCTCCAGGTGCTCCGGTTTCCTCCCACAGCTCAAAAGCCATACTGGTAGGTTAACTGGCTTCTGGGAAAACTGACCCTGGTGGGAGACTCAGGGTGTATCTTGCCTTGCACCCATCACCTGCCGGGATAGGCTCCACCTCCCTCACAATCTTGTATCGGATAAAGCAGTTAAAAAAAGTGCATGGATGGAGTTTGGGCAGCTAAAATGTAGAATGTCCCAGGAGACATCCCCGAGCTACACTGAAGTCTTCTTCTGTTCACTTCTAATTCAACAAAGATATACATAGGAAAAAGAAATGCTCTCAAACAAAATGACCGTGCATTCGAGCTCTTCACTGCAAGCAACAAAGAAACCGAGTTTAGTGGCAGGCTAATCTGAAGCACCATGGCCATCTCAGTATTAAAAATATATATCAGAGTTTTGTCTACAAGTAGTGCCACTGATCTAAAACCATATCCATCTACAAAATTAGACGTTTGTACATTATAGTAACAATGGAACAAGTAATAGGTTTATTCCATGCTGAAAAGAAGTAGAAAGAGAACACAACGTTTCGGCCATGGAGCCTGTATAACAATACTTTCATTTTTTCCCCACTTTCTAAATTTTTGAAGTGCACTCAAATCTTTATTATCTGCCCATGTTCCCACTTTTATCATCACAGAGTTGTAGTGAACTGCAGCCAAACTCAGTGTATTGTGCATCGACGTGGATCAGATTAAGGGGAGACATTCAAGTCAAGTTAAAAAGCAAACATTTGTTCGATATGTCCCGAAGCAAAGTCCTCCTTCAGCTGTTTAGAAAGAAATGTAACCTCAGTTCCGAGCCAGAAACTGCTCTCTGGGCACTGAACAAGAAGACAGATGGTCAAATGGAAGTAACTGCAGTGCGAGAGAACAAATTCAGGGAGCAACAGTTAATGACATCTGAAGGCCCCTTTGAGTCATAACAATAAAGGAAAGCATGGGAAACAAAATGATATGAAGAGTGCTCGATTTTCTGTAGAAGTCTCTGGCTAATGCCTTAAGTTTATTAAGCTGTAGCAGGCGAAGAGGTTATAAACACACCAAGAAGAGAGACAAGACTGCCTCTATGCAAAGCGGCTCTTCACCAGCAGCACTGCTCACACAATATCCTAGCAACCTGCGACTACGCTTTGATGTCAGCACTGCATCTTGGCCAGAAATAGAACACAGCTCCAGCAGAAGGTACGCTTTCGATTCAAAATGAGAACATCACTTAAGCCCAGTCGAGCAGAACTGAAGACGAGAGGACTGCCGTGTCGAGGGTGACAACTACAGGTTTCATGTTTCAATGAGAGAATCGCATTTTCCCCGCCATGCCGTCGTA